GTCCTGCCCTGTTCCACCCTTCCAAGGCGCTGGGCCAGAGCCCCTGGGGGCTCTACCAGGGACTCTGACAGGCCCTGGTTCTCGGAGCAGAGCCAGGTTGCCTAGCCAGCTGCCGCCCTGCCCTGCGGAGGGGAGGAACATCCGTGCTCTGTGAGTGCGCCTTGTTCCCTCCGGAGCCCCCAGACAGTGCGGGAGCCCCAGACAGTGCGGGTGCCCTTGTGGCTTAGACGGGATGGGGGAAGGGGCAGCTCCAACCCTCCAATCCGGAAAGGCTAGAACCTCCAGTCCTGGACAGGCTTGCTGCCTGGCCCCTCCTACCTGCCCGCTGCCCTCCCTTTCTGGTGGTGAGCTCACCGTCTGCTTGGTGGAAGGTGTTCAGTGACTTTCCTTAGGGAAACTGCGTGTTAAAGACATTTCACTAGGCACTTTCCCCCTTCACCCAACAGGTAAGATATGGTTAGTAGGGAAAGACTAGAAATACATGCACATAAACCAGAAGGAGAAAAAATTCACCTGTAATCCATTATTTAGAGGGAATTACTCTGAGTAACTACCAGAGTACTGTTTGGGTGAGAGATATATGTACTTCCAGTATGGTTTTTCTGTTTATACGCACACATATATTGAAATGTGTGTGTGTGTGTGTGTGTGCATTTTTTAACTAAAAAGATGACAAGCTCAGTCAAGCAGAACCATCACTACGGGAGCAGGCAGGCGGGCGTCCCTCTGAGGGCGGACCCCCGACTCTGGCTGCACTGGCCACCTCAGGCAAGAGGACAGTCAGGAGTTCACTGCATTTCTTTCTGCACGTTTTGAAGTTTGAATGTGTTATCCAGAAAAAAATAGAAATACTACCAACCATACATAAAAAGAAAGAAGAAAGCCTCCTCTCACCACCTCCCTCAGTTCTACTCCTGACTCAGCCCAACCCATGATTAGCAGTTTGGTTTGTATCTTTCTTTTTTTTAAATGTATTTTTCATAGTTTGTATCCTTCCAGGCCTTTGTCTGTGCTCATATACTGTATATTTCCGTCTCTTTGTATTTTTAAAAATAAGGATGGGATTATATTACATGCACAGTTTCTGCAACATACAAAATACTGTGGCTCAAACACAGACTATTTTCTAAAATGCTGGATGTTTGGGGTTTTTCTTCTGCCTAAAGTGCTTATTATAAAAATCAAAGATCACAGAGTCAAGTAAACATAGGAAGGAAAGAAAGTCTAAAAGAGCACACTGTCTATTTCAGTATTTTAAACACAGAGCCAAAGGTCAGGAGGAGCTCCAGCCAATCAGCTGCTGGGTGGGAGAGCGGGTTGGGGGGTGCACAGGGGCCTCCGCCTTGTCAGTTTGGTAGAGATTTACAGCAGGAGTTTTCGTATATCAGTTTATTTGTAAAAATATTGCCTAATAAAAAATGCAAGAAAACTGCGTCCCCCCAAAAAATGCGGGGGAACAAAAGTGCAGAATGCGAGTTTCCTATATGCTCGTTGTTAACGGCGTGGTGTTAATTTTCAGGTTGTCCCCCCCACCCCGTGGGTGTGCTCACACACATTTTATTTTTATAAAAATGATAACACGCTTTGTAATAACAGCTTTATTGAGATATACTTTCCATACTATAACGTTGGCCTGTTCAAAAGTGTATACAGTTCAGTGGCTTTAAAAGTATTCCGAGTTGTACAACCGTCACCACTCTCTAATTCCAGAACATTCCCATCGCTCCGAAAAGAGACCCCAAACCTGTCCTAGTCACTCCCTGCTCCCCCCTGGCAGCCACGCCTCCGTCCAGTTTCTGCCTCTGTGGAGATGGATACCCAACACCTCTCGTAAACGGAACCAAACCCTATGCAGCCTTTTGTGACTGGCTTCTCTCACTGAGCATGCTGTTCTCAGGGTACATCCATGTTGCAGCATGTGTCAGTACTTCACTCCTTTCTGTGGTTGGACAATATTCCTCTGTGTGGACAGGACACACTTTGTTTATTCTTCATCTGTGGGTGGACTGTTGGGTGCTAGGTTTTGTTTTGCAGGTTCTTTATTTCCCCTGACAAGGTGTCTCAGAGACCTGACCACGTCAGTGAATCTCACTCTTCCTCTGTCCTTTTTAATGTCTGCGGGCTTTATAGTATCTCATTCCTTTCTATGTGTGTGATGGCTGGGACCCCTCAGTGCCACTGGAAACCCCTGGCTCCCCTTCCTGTCCCCCACTTCCTGCCTCCAGGGAGTCTGCCGTGCTGAAGAGGCTGTGGTCTCAAAAATGGCTCCATTTCATACATGGTCAAATGGAGCTGCTGGGAGAGGAGGGGGTCCACAAACTCAGTGTCCTGGGGTCCCCAGGGTTCAGCTAGCTTCCCGCTGAAGTCTCAGCCCCTTCCCCTTAGCTGGGTGCTAAACAAGCCCAGACCTTCCACCTAGAGCCCTGGCCTCAGCCGTTCCACGTGGGGGTCTCCCTCGGAGCACCCCCTTCCCGGGGCCCCATTTGTGGGCAGGGCTCTTTGTGGGGGAGACTTGCTTTGTGGCTCTCAACCCCATGAAACGAGTCCTGGCACCCAGCGTCTGAAATATCAGCCTCGGCCTTCCTGCCTCGTTTGCATTTCAAAAGGCCCCTTTAGGATTTGATTGGACTTGAGATATACTTAAGAGCCCGTCTGGAGTTCATCTTTCATCCTGGCTCTGTGGTTTCTACCTGGGCTGCACGTTAGAGTCACTCAGGAAGCTCTTTTAAAACACTGGTGTCTGGGACCTACCCCGGACCAGTTATATCAGAATCTCGGGGGGTGAGACCGTGGGCATCATTTTTTTGTTGTTTCGTTTTGTTTGAAGTTCCCTAGATAATTGTGCTGCACACCCAAAGATTGAGAGCCACTGTGCTAACTCATTGAGGAAGGCACATTTTCTCCTTCCAAGTCCTCAGAACTAGATCTAGAACAAGGTCAAGAACTGGGCCCAGGTCAGCTGTGGATTGGCTGAGGGCCCTCACTTTCACCTGCAGTAGAGGGGGGCTTGGATCACATCCGTGGTCCCCCCCTTCAGGGGTAGGGTGTAAGAGGCAGAGGTAGGAAGGGCGTGCATTCAAACCACACCAGATCATTCTCAAAAAATCCCTGCCCGGCCCTGACTGGTGTGGCTCAATGTTGTTCCATGAGGGGAAAGATTGCTGGTTTGATTCCCAGTCAGGGCACATGCCTGGGTTGTGGTTTCGCTTCCTGGCTTGGGTGAGTCTGAGAGGCAACCAATTGATGTTTCTCTCCCCCTCTTCCCCCCCGCCCCACCATCCGCCCACTCTAAAAATAAATAAATAAAATCTTTAAAAAACACCCTGCCCAACCTGAAAAAAGAAGCAACCTAAGTGAATCACCCCTCTTATGGGAAGAAGTGTTCAGGGGAATGACTCAAACAGAAATGTCAGTAGTGATTATTGTGACCTCTTAACCTTTTCTCCTCAAATTCCCCTCTGCGGGGCGTGTTTTATTTTGTATTCTGGCCAGACAGAGGAGCGCTCCTGTCCCTCTATAGCTCTGGTAGAGTGGGTTGTAAGATGTTTGGGGTTTCGCCAATCTGATAGGTGAGAAGCGATATCTCAGTGTAGGTTTTTTTTAAATTTAATCTTTACTGTATTTTTTTTCCTTTACCATTTAGTCTCCCTACGGATGTAGGGAGGGGAGCATGGACCAGTCACTGGGTGGGAGCCGTCTCCCCCCAACTCTTGGTGTAATTTGAATTCTCATCTCTCTGTCAAACAGTGTCGAGCATCTTCCTGTGCTCAGGAGCCACTCACCCTTCTTTTCCTGAGAACCGTGTTTTGCATCGCTGCCTCATTTTTGTCTGGGTTTGTTGGCTTGTTTATTCTCTGTTTTGTGAAGCTGTTTACCTACTTTGGATATTAACCCTTTGTCAGTGTTATGTGAATTGTAAATATTTTTCCCAGTTTGTCATTTATATATTTTTAAGTTTAAAAAAATTATTCTTTTTTTTTAGAGGAAGGAGGAGAGAGAAAAACATTGATTTGTTGTTCCACTTATTAATACATTCATTGGTTGATTTTTGTATGTGCCCTGACCAGGGGTCGAAGCTGCAACTTTGGCATATCAGGACGATGCTCTAACCAGCTGAGTTACTCAGCCAGGGCCTGTCATTTATCCTTTTACTTTTCCTAAGGTGTATTTTTGTTTCTGTGTAGATTTTGCTTATTTGATCAAATGTTTTTATTTTTCTTCCCCTATCACTTATGGATTTTGAGTCATGATTATTGTTAGTCTTATTTTGCTTTAATCTGCATGCAGACACTTACGGTTTGAATTAAGATCAATCCATCATCTTTTCCAAGGCTCCCGTGGAATTCTGACTTGTCACTCACTCCCCTCAGGAAGAGGCAGAGGGAGAAGTTGGGGTGTGGCTGGGGTGTGGAGCCTTCACACCTGTGGCTCTGCCAGCCTCCTGGGGAGGTGTCCCAAGCTGAGGCAAACGAGCATGGACCAGTCCCTGGGTCCTGGGAGGAGGACTCAGCTTTGAGGTCTTGGGGGAAGAGGGAGGCGGGTGCCCGAGTCCCGAAGGGGGGATCTGGGTGGGGCACCGCAGCATCCTCCTCAAATACCCTGTCTGTCTTGGTCCCTGCTGTGTTCTCTACCCCAAACTGTGCCCAGCACGTAATGGGTGCTCAGGGAGTCTTTGGTGAATGAATGAAAGACAACCAAGAACAGAAACCCAGATACCGGGTCCAGCCCAGGCAAGCTGGATCTCAGCATGGTGGTGGGAGAAGAGGGACGGCACCCTGGGCAAATGTGCTCAGAATCAGCTCCTCGAGTGCTTCTGGCCTGTCCCCCGTAGGCAGCCCACTGGGTGGTCTGGGGAGCCCCTCTGGCTCAGCAGTTGGTGCTGCTCAAGGCCTGGCGATGGGGACCCTCCGTGGAGCCTTAGGCTCTGTGACTTCTCTTTGGATGCACGTCACCATCATGAGCTTTAAATGCTGAGTTTGTTTCCTTAAATTTCTCTCCAGCATTCCTTGAAGAAAAGAGGGACCCGTTCCCTGGGGAAGACGGACAAGAAGCCTTCGGTGCAGGTACTTCCCAGCAGTTCCCGCAGCCCCTGGTGCAGCCCCCACGGCAGGTTTTAGTCTCAAGGCCTAACTCTAGGTGGCATGGAGGGGGGTCCTCAGAGATGCCCACCCCCTCCATATTTTACCCCTTCTTCTCCTCGTTCATTTTCTTAGCTTTGCTGCCCATTTTACATCCCCAAACAATGCCATGAACCCATGGCTCCCACACACTCAGATAGAGAAAGAGCTGTGTGCATCACAGGCCAGACGGGGAATGCAGTTAGCCACTAGTGGTTGTGGACTGTCAGAGTGCTGGGCACTCTTTGTGCATTATCTCATTTAATCCTCTCCATGGCTCTGTGAGGGAGGGAGTGTTATTGTCTCGTTTTACAGTGAGGAAACTGTTGTAGTAATGGTAGGGGTGGTAGAAGCAGCAGTAGTCATGCTAGCAAAATGTTGCCTCCTCCAGGAAGCCCTCCGGAACTCCCCAGGCTATATGTGATACTCCATTTTTGCCGCTTTATCAATGTCCCCCTCTCTACTTCGCTCTGGACTTCCAACTCTTTGAGGGTTGAGGCTTCCTCGGTCTCCCCAGCACATAGCTGGTGCTCCCAGAAATGTTGTGGCTGGTATTGAGCCTCCCAACACTAACTTTCCTGGGTCCTCTCTGTCCTTGTGCCCGTCGGGCCCTAGGAGGACAGCGCAGATTTGAAGTGCCAGCTGCACTTTGCAAAGGAGGAGTCGGCCCTCATGTGCAAGAAGCTCACCAAGCTGGTCAAGGAGAACGACAGCATGAAGGAGGAGCTGCTCAAGTACCGCTCCCTGTACGGTGATCTGGACAGCGCCCTGTCGGTGGAGGAGCTGGCCGATGCGCCCCATTCTCGGGAGACTGAGCTGAAGGTACACCTGAAGCTGGTGGAGGAAGAGGCCAACCTGCTGAGCCGCCGCATTGTGGAGCTGGAGGTGGAGAACCGAGGCTTGCGGGCCGAGATGGATGACATGAAGGATCACAGTGGCTGTGGTGGGGGCCCGGAGGCGCGCCTGGCCTTCTCCGCGCTGGGTGGCAGTGAGTGTGGGGAGAGCCTGGCAGAGCTGCGGCGACACCTGCAGTTCGTGGAGGAGGAGGCGGAGCTGCTGCGGCGCTCCTCGGCCGAACTCGAGGACCAGAACAAGCTGCTGCTGACCGAGCTGGCCAAGTACCGTTCAGAGCATGAGCTGGATGTGACCCTGTCGGAGGACAGCTGCTCGGTGCTCAGCGAGCCCTCACAGGAGGAGCTGGCGGCCGCCAAGCTGCAGATCGGTGAGCTCAGTGGTAAAGTCAAGAAGCTCCAGTATGAGAATCGTGTGCTCCTGTCCAACCTCCAGCGCTGCGACCTCGCCTCCTGCCAGAGAACAAGGCCAATGCTGGAGACAGATGCTGAGGCGGGGGACTCGGCCCAGTGTGTTCCCGCTGCCCTCGGCGAGCCCCACGGCCCCCATGCCACCCGGCTCTGCAGAGCCAGGGAGGCCGAGGCACTGCCTGGTCTCAGGGAGCAGGCTGCCCTGGTCAGCAAGGCCATCGACGTCCTGGTAGCCGATGCTAATGGCTTCTCGGCCGGCCTCCGCCTGTATCTGGACAATGAGTGTGCCGACTTCCGGCTGCATGAGGCCCCCGACAACAGCGAGGGCCCCAGGGACACCAAGCTCATCCACGCTATCCTGGTTCGGCTGAGTGTGCTCCAGCAGGAGCTCAACGCCTTCACGCGGAAGGCGGACGCAGCCCTCGGGAGTTCTGCCAAGGAGCCGCAAGAGCCCTTCTCGTCGCTGACCCCCCTGGGCTCCCAGGGGTCCTCCAAGGAGATTCTTCTGGCCAAAGACCTGGGCTCAGACTTCCAGGTAAGGGGTGTCCCAGTCACAGGTCCTGTTACGCTTGTTTGATAGAACTCTTTTTACTGAACCGTAACATACAGACAGAAAGGTACACAGAGCACAGGTATAGAGCTTAGGGTTTTCCCAAGGCGAGCACATCCATATAAATAACCATTGCCCAGAAGGAGAACTGGAACACGACCCACAGCCCAGAAGCCCCTCCTCGTGTCCCCTTCCAGCCGCAGTGCCCGCTCCCCAGCGTAGCCTCCTGATTCACTTCTGTCTGTCTCGGTCACTTTTGTCTGTCTTTGAACTTTATACGAATCGACTCACGTAGTACACACTCGTGCCTGGCTTCCTTCCCTCACGACTACCTTGGCTGTCGCCTGTGGCAGTAGTTTATTAATTCTCATGACTGGGTGCGATCTCACTGACTGACCATGCCGCAATTCCCTCCCTCATTTCCCACTGATAGACACAGGGGTCGATTCTGAGGCCATCTTTTTTTCTAGGATGCCCTTTCTTCTTTCCTCGTTTCTCTTGGAATTTTGTGTTTTAAAACCAGTGTTATTAAAACAAAGAACTTTTGTTCAGGTCCTATGCAAACGCCAGAAACTTGGCTTTCTAACGGTGAAGAACTTCCAGCCTTGATGTCTATAAAATACGACTCAGAAACATTAGAATAACGAATGCATTTGTCCCCCAAAGGAGTCCCTGAGCGTCCGAAGAATCTCGGGAACACCTGAGTGAAGGAGGGAAGCCTCCTCCTTGCTGTTCCTCACTCCCCGCGGGTCCTGCCTTTAACAGTCTGGAGCAGCCCTGGCCTATACAGTGGCCAGCACATGGGACTATTTTAATTTAAATTAATAAAAATGACATACAACTGAAAATTCAGTTCCTCGGTAGTCATAGCCACGTTTCAAATGCTCAGCCACTGCATGTGTCCAGTGGTGCAGATCTAAATGTTTCATCACCACAGCAAACCCCTCTCAATCTTTCTCTAGCCCTGGTCGGCAGTTGGTTAAAGCGTTGTCCCCAATACCCCAAGGTTGTGGGTTCAATCCCCATAACCAGGGCATGTACAAAAATCAACCAATGAATGCATCTATAAGTAAAACAACAAATCGATGCTTCCATCTGTCTAAAACCAATCAATACATTCATTAATTAAACCTTTCTCTACACATACTCTTATATATTTGTTTTTTCACCCAAATTGTCTTTTGTTATACACTGTGTTAGCACACAACTTATTTTTCTCATTATTGGTTCATTTACAATGGTGCTGTGTTTGTTGTTCATATATTGTTTGTGCTCGGTGCTGGGGGTGCTGTGGTAAGCGAAACAGATGTGAGTCCCTCCCCTAGCTCCCCCAGCCCCACCCCTGCCCGTGTCATTGAGTGGGAAAGAGAGATGTCAATCAAAGAACGGCAATGAACATGAAATAACTAGCTAGATAAGAGCTCTCAAGGAAATAGACTTGGTTCTGTGAACAAGGATCTTGACCTAGTTGCTGGGTCAGGGAAGGCGTCTCTCATCTGAGCCCAGATCAGAAGGATGGGTTACCGCAGGAAGAGTTCTAAGCCGAAGGAACAGACTGTGCAAAGGCATCGTGGCTGGAAGGGGCACAGCGTGTCCAAGAACTAAGGAGGAATGAGGCTGGACTGCAGAGGACATTGGGGAGGTTTGAGCTTCACGCTGAGCACAGTGGGATGGGTCTTTCTGTGTCTACAGAGAAATTTAGCTCTTTTTTTCACAACTACACAGTGTAGTGGGGCCATACTTTATTTAATCCGTGCCCTGTTGACCTGGCTTGATCTTGCTTTATATAGCAAGCAGGCTGCCCTGTGTGAGGTTGCCCCCTTGATTCTTCTTGAGGTCGGTGTGAGCTGGGGCCTCACACAGGGCGGGACCGGTGAGTCAGGCTCCGAGGAGGCTCGTGCACAGGTGGACATTCACAAAGTCAGCATCTCATTTACCCCCCACCTAGTCATTCATCCTGTCAACGAACATTCACTGAGTGGGTGCAGTGCCCTAACCAGGGCTGGGGCTGGGTCACCGAGGTGAATCCACCCAGATTCCAGCCCCCAGGCTGGTGCTCAGAGCCTCTTCCGGAGGCCTGAGGCCTGGGGTGGGGCTTTTTGTGGCACCCTCTGGGCCCTTCCCCACGGTTATCTCTGGTCTCTTCTGCCCGTGCCTCTTGCACAGCCACCCGACTTCAGGGACCTGCCGGAATGGGAGCCCAGGGTACGAGAGGCCTTCCGCGCTGGCGACCTGGACTCCAAGCCGGACCCCAGCCGGAGCTTCAGGCCTTACCGAGCTGAGGACAACGATTCCTATGCCTCCGAGGTGGGCCTTGGCCTGAGCCAGTGGGGGTGGGGAGGGGGGTGGGAGGAGAGCGGCTGGGGTTTCCCCAAAGCAGTGGGGTCCATGGGGAGTCTTAGCTGGTGATGCTAGGGGGTGTGAGCCCTCCACTCGGTTTCGAGCTTCCGAGGACAAAAACGGGAAACAAGGACATTTGGGCCATTCTCGTGGCCTGATAAAAAGGAAGCTTATAAATTCGGTTGAAGAAATTGATTTTTTTGTACTAAATTCCACTGGGAATTCAGTAGTTTATGTCATTTAATGGAATCGCTTATTTATGTAAAAGAAGGCAGCTGTCTCCACAGTTGGGCTGACTGGGCTCAAATTGCGGGTCCCCTTTATACTGGCTGCACGTCACTTGACCTCCCTTATCCTGTTTCTCACCTTCAGAATAAAAGTGATCCCTCACAGTGTTGTGGAAAGGAATAAATGTACAAAAAGCCTTAGTGTAAGCCTGGTCCCTGCTGGGTGAGGAGGAGGATGACACATCACAGGCCTCAGGGGACCTACCCTTGTGGCTGTGTGGCCTTGGGCGCAGGCGCAGCCTTGCTCTGTTGCCGCTTCCCCATCTGTAATGCGGGAGGGTTAGAGTCGCTGGTGGCTGGCTCATTGCAAGGATTCCCTTGTCCCTGAGAATTCTGGGTAGTTCTGAGCCCCTCCCAAGCCTACTCCTGAGCCTTTCCCTAGCACTTTATAGTGACCCTGAGGCAGGAAATGGCTCTTACCGTCTGGGTAGGACCTGCCTGAGATTCCCAAACCTTGGAGAGCCCCGTCGGTGGCCCAGCCTGCTCACCCTTTTCTTTTGAGCTTCCCCGGAAGGGCAAGTTTGGGGTCCTAGGAAGGCCAGTCTGCAGCTCTGCAGAATGGGAAGCTCCCCTGAAGTCAGAGGATCAAATTCTCTAAATGATCTGAGTTTCCTTTAAAAGCCACAGCAAAAGGGGGGTGGGGAGCGGGGAATCATAAGATACCTAGTTCTCATTTTCTGAGAAAAGGAAATGGCCCGCTCACTGGCAGAGAAAATAATTTCCTACATGCATTCGATTACTGTTTGATTCAACCGCTCTTCACGGAGCAGTTCCAGTTCGCCAGGCACTGTGTTGGGTTCCGAGTTCAGGGAGAACACCAGAGACAGCAGATCTTGCGCTTCGAGGACTTTTAATACAAAATGGGTAAATAAGATACACCTCGGGCAGTGCCTTCCATGGCCAAACTTCCACATTATGGGCCAGATAGTAAATGTGTGTTTTTTTCACGGAGGGACATCTTGCCAGTCCTGGGGAGGTTTTGTGTAAGGGTCGGGCTGACATTTCCTTTTTCTTCTCTTGCTTAACGTGACAGCATGAACATTTCCCTCTGTTTCTACTGAGTAGCAATACTTTAAAAAGCATTTTTAAGAGAAATGTTCCTTATGGACAGAAAAGCAGTTACATTGTAAGTGGACAGCGCAGGTGATTTCCACAAACTGAACACTCCTATGTAATCAGCAAGATGAATAAACAAACATGCCCCCCCCAGGTGTCCCCGTGTCCCCTTCTCGTCACCATCCTGACTTCTAACAGAGTGGATTCGTTTTGCCTGTTTAGCTACAAATACTTGTAACACAATTTCCCTCAAAAAATGTAGAGTTTTATTGTCTTTTTCTTAAGATTTGATTACATAGTTATTACAACACAGCTACCACAAAGTCTCTGAGCTCCATTCCGTAAAGATATGAAGAAGAAAGTTAAGATCACAAGGTTATCACACAGTTAACCACTGTTAACATTTAGTGTGTGTGCCATGGTCCTCCTGGTTTTCTATTGAGATACATATCTTTTTAAACTCTTTATTGAAGTATAACAATATACATATGATAACATACATGTAATAAAGGACACCATCCTTAAGGGTATAGTTAACGGGTTTTTACCTGTGTATAGACCCAGTAAACACACATATTGATCCTCATCATTATTATGTGAGTTGTTTGTATATTTTTGCAATTATAAACGATGAGACAATGAACATTTTTGCAAGTCAAACCCAGTTCCCACAGTATGTTATTTTCTCCAAGTAAATTTTAAAGAGAAACATAATGAAGGTAAAACTGTAATAGCTGGATTTGATGTGCACTGTTTTGTTTAACCATCAGGGCAGCCTGCGGAGGGTCAGCCGTTGTGCCTGGCTCGTCCCTGAAGGTCAGCCTGACAGCTGTCGCTCCCCTCCGGTTCTGCCCTCTGACCGCAGTTTCTAACCTCCTCGCCCTCTGCCTCCGCCCCTCCCCAGATCAAGGAGCTGCAGCTGGTGCTGGCTGAGGCCCATGACAGCCTCCGCGGCCTGCAAGAGCAGCTCTCCCAGGAGCGGCAGCTACGGAAGGAGGAGGCCGACAGCTTCAACCAGAAAATGGTCCAGGTGCGTGGTGCTCAGTGTCCTCTCTGCACTTGTTCCAACTTCCCTTCTCTGAACCGGTTAGAAACCTCAGAGATACATGAGGCCTCAGGAGGCAAGAATGTCGGGAAACCCGAGTCTGGCCGCCTCACGCCACACTCACGGTTGTGGGTGTCAGTGAGTCTATTAGCTGTGCCGGGCTGGGAGCCCGGGCTTGTCACTGACTTCCTGAGTGACCTCAGGCCAGTGCTGTCTCCTCTCTGGGCCTGCATTTCCTGTCTTTGAAGTACTGCCCCCATCAGAGCTGAAAATCTGTAGCCAAAAGGCCATAGGCCTATCTGGTAATCCAGATGAAAATCCTGCCAATAGGAAGCATTTATTTAACCCTTACTGTATGTCAGGCTTGTGCAGTGTACTTTCCACACAGTATGTCCTGTAATCCTCATGTCTTCCCCTCTGCTGTGTCCCCATTTTCCAGATGGGGAAACTGATTCCCAGGGAGCTGAAGTGCTTTGCCCAGGGTTTCACATCCAGGCGAGGTGGGGCTTGGATTCTAACGCAAGTCTCTGGCTCCCTCTTAACCATGACACAGAATTGCTTTCTCTAGGATATTACATGAGCTCAGCCTTCCTCATTCCCAGGATGCCCTTTGCTCTCCACATTGCTCACCCTCCCAGGTTCCTCACTGAATGTGAGTTCATGTGAAACATTGGCATCCAGCACGTGCTTATTATATTATGTCATGGTTTTTTATCATGAGACAGCTGGGTTCAAATCCCTGCCGTTTTCACTGATTCAGTAACTGATCGCTACTGCTTTTATGAGTTCCTCTTCCCTGGAGAAGCAGGGGGCAGCGTTTTATCTCAACAGCATGAGCTGCTAGTGGTGGAATCCCTGGCAGGGATCGCCAACAAGCACCACCCAGATTTTCTTCCCTGCCCTGGTCAGAAGCCTGGAATGGGGTGGGGTGGTGCCCAGGAAGACAGCTGGCTTGCTCACACTCTTGTCCCCTTCGAAGCTGAAGGAGGACCAGCAGAGGGCGCTCCTGAGGCGCGAGTTCGAGCTGCAGAGCCTGAGTCTCCAGCGCAGGCTGGAGCAGAAATTCTGGAGCCAGGAGAAGAACATGCTGGTGCAGGAGTCCCAGCAGTTCAAGCACAACTTCCTGCTACTCTTCATGAAGCTCAGGTGGTTCCTCAAGCGCTGGCGGCAGGGCAAGGTTTTGCCCAACGAGGGGGATGACTTCCTTGAGGTAGGTTTCCCCTGGGACTGGGGCTGGGACTGGGAAAGAGGTGGTGTTGGGGAGATAGGACCAGAGGGACAGCCACCTGGCATCTGCACATATATAGGCCAGCAGCCTGCAGGCTTCATTCGGCACCTGTTAGTGAGAACCAGCTCTTTCCTGGGCACTGCGGCAGGCGCTGGGGATATGGGGGTGAAGAAGACAGGCTCAGTCCCGGGCTCAGCAGGAAAAAGTCTCTTCGGGGGGCTGGTGGATCTCTAACACCTGTTCATGTTCCTTCTTAACAAACCTTGAGCCTTCAGCAGACAACAACCTAGTTTTGTCGTTACTGTGTTATATATATGCAAACATAGTGTATGTTTTTTACTCCTCTCAAGTACAGCTTACATACAAGCACAGTGCACATGTCTTCCGTGTACAGCTAATGACATTTTACAGTGTTCTCCTGTCCAGCCCAGCACACAGGAGAGCACGTGTTCTTGTCCCATAGGCTCCCTGGTGGCCCAGTCAATGTGCCCTCCCCAGCAGTCAGCATTATTCTGACTTCTTATACCCCTGATTGGTTTTGCCTATTATAGAAGTTTGTATAAGTGCAGGTGGTCTTTTGTGTCTGCCTTCTTTTGCTCAATACAATTTTTTGAGATTCATCCATGTTTTGCCTATAGTAGTTCATTTTTTATTGTTTATATTTTTGACTTATAGATATACCTGTTCTAGTTTTTCTTCTTTAAAGTATATTTTATTGATTATGCTCTTACAGTCGTCCCAGTTTTTTTCTCCTCTTTATCCCCCTCCACCTTGTACCCCCCCCATCCCCCAGCATTACCCTCCTTAGTTCATGTCCATGGGCTGTACATATAAGTTCTTTGGCTTTTATATTTCCTATTCTATTCTTAACCTCTCCTGTCTATTTTGTGCCTACCTATTATGCTTCTTATTCCCTGTACCTTTTCCCCCATTCTCCCCCTTCCCTCCTCCCTACTGATAACCCTCCATGTGATCTCCATTTCTGTGATTCTGTTCCTGTTCTAGTTGTTTGCTTAGTTTTTGTTTTTTAGGTTCAGTTGTTGATAGTTGGGAGTTTGCTGATGCCTATCTTATTTTTAATGTTATCTTTGATATATAGCAATGGGTGTTGGCTTTCCATGTTTAGTAATAATAATTTCCTTTTTAGATGTATATATTTAACTAGAAAGAATAGGTTGACTTAGAAACATTGATGATACTACAGGTAGTATTTTGGGTGTGGCAAGAAACCTGGGAAGTGGAACTTTGGGAATGTGTGAAGCTTTGGAGGGTTCCCATGGCCCATTGTCCCTCAGCCTGTGCAGGACCTCTCGTTGCTCAAAGCCCCTGCCTCCCATCATCATTACATGGACCTCGGCCATCACTACATGGACCACACTGACGTTGCTAAGAGAAGGGGCATGTAAGGACATCATACCTCAGTCATACTCCGCTGAGTTGGCACTGTTCGCCTTGGCTTTTTGGGTACAGGTGCTTCTGGTCTAGGCCAAACTTGGCCGTCCTTTCAGTTAAGGTACTCTTTCCTGAGCTAGTGGGGCCCAGTGGCACCCCCTAAATCCCCATGTACCCCCCTGTCAGGGGATCCCCGGAGTAGCCCCAATGCCCCAGGAGCAGAGCGTGATGGTTAGACCTGAACCTTTGGCAAGAGTCCCCTTCCCTCACCTCCAGTGGGCCTCGTCCACCTCCCAGGCACTGGCCTCCTCCCCAGGGCCTCTTGGGAGGTCACTGGTCACCCTTAAATGGGCCTCACCCCCTCAGAGAATCAGCGTCAGAGTCTGCCTTCCATGGCTGCCCCTTGGGCATCACCCTCCGTGACACCCGGGGCCTCCTGTTTGGAGCCGCTGTCTGCTGTCTGCCTCCCCTTCCGCGGCATTTTGGAATTTAGTACATCTCTCCTGTTTGGCAGTTCCACCTGGGCCTTTGGATGAAGCCTAGTGTTTTGGATTTTTATAAGTGAATTTTTAAATTTTTGTCTTTTAAATTGTAGTAAATACGCATAACAGAAATTTCACCCATTATGTGTATATATATATATATATATATATAACATACACAGTTCAGTGACATCAAACAAACTCACTCCGTTGTGCAGCCGCCGCCGCCATCCGTCTCCGAGTCCCTTTGCCCCGCAGAACTGACCCTCTGGACCCACTGAACCCTAAATCCCCGTCCCCCGTGCCCCCAGCCTCTGACGGCCAGCACTCTACTTTCCGTCCCTATGAATTTGATTACTCTGAGTACCTCATGCGAGCGGAATCGTGCAGTATTTATTCTTTTGTGTCTGGCCTGTTTCACTTGGCCCGGTGTTTTCGCAGAATTTCTTTCCTTCTTAAGGATACTATCCCATGCTATCGATAAACCACATTTTTTTTCAGCTTATTGAGGTATAATTGCCACCTGGGAGTTGTATATATTTAAGATGTACAAATGGATGTTTTTTTAAATTTTTTAAAATTGATTTTAGAGAGACAGGAAGAGAGAGGGAAAGCACTATCAGGCTGTTATTTCACTTGTCCATGCATTCATTGGCTGCATCTTGTGTGTCCCCTGACCAGGGATTGAACCTGCAACCTTGCCGTATCGGGACTGTGCTCTAAGCAATTGAGCTACCCAGCCAGGGCTACAGCTTGATGTTTTGATACATGTTTACATTGCGAAATGATCGCTTCAATCAAGTCAACATTCATTACGTCTTCCTTTCTCTCTCTCTCTCTTTCTGTGAGAGCACTTAAGATCTACGCTCTCAGCAAATTTCAAGTACCCAACACAGACGTGTCAGCTGGAGGCGCCATGTTGTACGATAGATCTCCAGAATTACGCATCCTGTGCAACTGGAACTTTGTGCCCTTCGACGGCCTCTCCCACTTCCCTCTCCCCTGCCCTTGGCAACCACCATCCTGCTGCTTGTGTGCGTTCGGCTTATCTCGATTCCACGTTTGAGTGAGGTCTCACAGCACTTGACTTTCTGTGTCTGGCTTGTTTCACTTAGCATAATGTCCACCAGGTCCGTCCATGTTGTCAAAAACGGCAGCATTTCCTTCTTACGGCTGAGTGCTACTCCGTTGTGTATATATACCGTATTTTCTTTATGCATTCATTCATCAATGGACACGTAAGTCGTTTCCGTGACTTGGCTACTGTGAGTAATGCTGCAGGGAACAGAGGGGGTGCAGATATCTCTCTAGATCCAGATTTCACTCTTTTGGACGAATCCCCAGAAGTGGATTGCTGGATCACAGGTTCTATTTTCACATTTTTGGGGAAGCTGCTATACTGTTTTCCATGGCTAGAGCTCAGTTTTGGTTGCTGGAGAAAATGCTCCCTCACACCCTACACAGTGAATTGCCTACAGGCCACAGAACCTCTATTTGAAGTCAGTTTTTCTCAAACAAACTCTTCATATTTGATGAAAATCTTCCTAGCCATTTCCATTTATTGGAGTAACAGAGAAACAGAAACTTATTTAGGAAAAAAATGAGGTATAAGCATAAAAAATTAAATATATGTGCCTATAATGAATAGAAATACAAATATTTACTGACACATAATGAGATAGAAACATAACCACATACTTGTTAAAAACAGGTACATATGTATTTGTATATAACATGAGACAAAACACACATGTATGAAAAAATATATAAATACATAATAAGATACAATAGATAACTTGATATGATACAGTCATACTTTAAAGAATATACATAACCACACACGCAGAATGAAAGCTACCTGAGTGAACGGTACCGCTCACACCATGCGTGTTTGCAGTGTTCTAGGCACTGTGTTAAATGCTTTAAGCGGATTATTGCATTTTACTTTTACAAATACCCTGTGATATGGAGACAATTATTATCCCCATTCTACTGCAGATAAAGATCTTTGACTTCTTGTCCTCCATTCTGAAATCCACAAGCTCTGAGAACTATGTCTCTTTGTGTCTGGCTCATATGGAAGATATTGGCCTGCACTTGGCAGCGAAACCTTTGTTTATTCCGTTTCGTGTTGATGTTCGTATGTCTGTGAGGGAAACAGTGGTGTCCTCAAGCACGGGGCTTACGCCGGACTTTGCCAGGGTTGTTAGACAGTATACAGTGTAGGCGCCATATTATTTTCCTAAATCCCACCGAATTCTGAATTCCAGACACACCTGGCCCCAAGCATTTCATAGAAAGAATTGCACACCTGTGTACATGCAGTCAGAAGGCTGCATATTTAAGTACTCGTACTCATGACTGGGGCCAGGATTGGGGTGTCTATTCAGGCCCTGCTCCCCTTCATACTGTCCACCCTTAGTGCCTGCCTGACCCTGGAAACCCTCATTCATTTAGTGTCTAGGACACACTCTTGGTTTTTCTTCCACCTTCCTGTTTGCTCTGTCTCAGTCTCCTTGGCTGGACCCTCTGGTCCTCCCTGACCTGACCTCTGAATGTCAGAGTCCCCAGGGCTCAGTCCTCAGCCTGCATTCCTCCCTCACCTACACTTGCTCACTTGGGGAGCTCACCCAGGCTTATGGCTTCACTGGCCTTTCTTGCACATTATGAATCTGTTCAGAATCTGACCCAGTTACGCTGCCTGCCCCTCCCCCTTTAATCCAAGCCATCATCCTGTCTTGTCTGGGTTGTCTCAGTGGCCTCCTACCTGGTCTCTCTGCTTCTGCCCCTGCGCTCTTCCACCAAGCATCTCATATTTACACGGGTGCAGGGAGGCACCAGGCAGCAGGTAGTCCATGTGGATGGTGCCCCTTGGAGCTGCGTGATAGGGGTTCCATTGATGCCCTGTATCTCAACACAGCATCTGGAGGGATCTTGTGAGGCCAGAAGTCAGGCCGGTGTCTCCATGGCCCACAGTCCTCCCTGGCCCCCATTTCACCCAGAGTAGAAGCTGAAGTTTCTACCGCGGCCCAGTCGCCAGGCTCTTCATCCGCCTTGCTCGCTGGTGTGTCCCCAGTTCTGAACACAAGGCCTGGCACTTGGGAGGTGTTCAGTCACTGTTTGTTGAACGGATGTGCAGCCCAGTGAGAAGGGGGCTTCCTTCTGCCCCGTTCCTGTCCTGAATTAGTGCCCTGGTCCCCGTGGCTGGCCCCGGACTCCTGCCCAGCTTCCATCGGCAACAAACCCTGCCTCCCAGGAAATCTCCCTTCTGTCTGCCCAAACCTTTGATCCCCTTTTTTGTAATCCTGGGGCTAGCTGTGGCTTTTATCACAGCCTCAGTGCCTGCCTTGGCCTGGCCTGACAAGGTGTCATGTCTGAGTAGCTCTCGGGGGTGCCTCACAGTGTATGGGCCAGAGAGAAGGTGGGAGGCTGGAAGTGGCCTGCCTCTCCACCTGTGTGCCCCAACCTGGATGGTGTCAGAGGTCAAGGTTAACATTTGGGAAGTCAGTGCTGAGCTGGGTGCCTTTGGACCACCCTGCCCCATAAACCCTGTTCCTTCTTCCAGGCTGACTGTTTGGTCCACTTTCTGTCTGGGCCGCCAGCCCGAATCCCCTCCTCCTGAGGTCAGGCCCCCAGCCCGATGCCCTCCCAGCCTGTTGAATGAGGCTTTTTTTTTTTTTTTTTTTTGATTAGGTAAATAGCATGAAGGAGCTGTACCTGCTGATGGAGGAAGAGGAATTAAATGCCCAGCATTCTGATAACAAGACCTGCACGGGGGACAGCTGGACCCAAAACACGGTTTGTTCTCTGCCTGTTCCTGGTCCTGTCCCTGGTCCTGTCCCGTCCATTTGCTTCTCCGTCTGATTAATGATCACTGCCTGCTGCCTTCTCTGACCTGCACTATGCTGGGCACCAGAGCTGCAGAGGGTGTTTGCCTGGTCACTGGCCCCAGGTGCTCAGTGCTATGGAGTGTGTAAGTCATCCCAGGGCGGCGACAGAGGGTCAGATGGTGGACTGTGGGGTCACAGGCAAGAGAGCAGTTAATTCTGTTTGGAGTGTAGTGGACATTGTCATAGAGGAGTGATCATTGGTGGTGGGTTTTGAAGGATGAATAGGAGTTTGCCTGATGGACAATGGGGAAAAGGCCACTCTGGACCAAGAGGACTGTGTGTGCAGAGGTGTAACAAGATGTTCTGGGATTCACTGCATCTTGGAAGGCACATGGTGGAGATGAGGACATCATGTGGGGGTCATATGAAGATGGACCGTGTGGTCTGGGGTCAGGAACCCTCAAATCACGCCATGGAGTAGAGAGAGCAGTGGGGTCAGGCTCCCAGGGGTACAACCAGTGAACTCGGGTGTGGGTGGGAAACAGGCTACCAGCCAAGGAGAGGGGGTTGGAACCAAGTCAGGCAGTCGGGGAGGCTCCATGGTCCAGACTCCTCATGTGGCCCTCGGTGGTCAGAGAGGCAGATCCTGGGCAAGGACGAGGACCCCAGGGCCTAGACACTGCAGGACCTCAAAGGAGCCAGGGCCCGGCTCAGATTCAGCCCAAGCTGTTACTGCTGTGGCTGCAGGTTCCTGTTTACCCGAGGCTGGCAGAGGAGGTGGCCGGGGCTGAGATGACTCAGCCCAGAAACGTCAGGGCTGGAATTTCATGGGCGAGATGACCCAGAGAGGGCGCAGGGCCTGCCTGAGGCCTGGCAGAGCCCAGCGTGGACTCCGAGTGGGCGTTCGCAACCCGGGCCCCCCTCGCAGCCCCTCCAAGCGCCTCTGACCCAGGCCCCGCCCCTGTCTGCAGCCCAATGAGTACATTAAGACGTTGGCCGACATGAAGGTGACGCTTAAGGAACTCTGCTGGCTGCTCCGAGATGAACACCGTGGTCTGACTGAGCTTCAACAGCAGTTTGCCAAGGCCAAGGCTACCTGGGAGATGGAACGGGCAGAGCTCAGAAGCCACACCACCCAGGTGAGTCTTCAACTGGTCAGAGACATCTGCTGCCTTGCTCCTGTCTTAACCCGGCCTCAGCTGTTGCCTCTGGGAGCAGGCTGAGAAACCCGTGCTCCCGGAAGCATAGGAACCCCGACACCTCACCCCGTGACCCAGAGAAGGCGAGAGACTTGCCTAGAGTCACACAGCAAGGGCCGTCAGAAACAGTGGGAAGTCCCTGAGGCTTCCCAGGGAGTTGCTGAGTTGGGGGGAAAGGTGAGCGATTGACAAAAGGGCCCAGGGGCGTCAGGGGCACTCCCGCTCCTCTACCAGGGTCTCACAGGTGAGCCCAGAATGCTTAAGTGCCTGTCTGTACTTGGTGCCTCAAACAGAAGGACTTCTCTCCCCACACCCGAGATGACCATAGGAGCCCTACCCAGGTGCTCTGGGGTTTGGTCTCTGCTGTGCACTGGCGGCAAGTGGCTGCCCATCTCTGGTCTTCGCAGTGAGAGGGTGGGCTTCCTGTCACTCAGAGACACTGCTCTGACCACCCCCACCCCACGCCACAACCCTGCAGGCTGCCTTCCCGAGCGCTGTGGCTCCTGGGAGGTGGGTACACTCATTACTGCTGCTGGGCAAATGAGAAAACAGGCACAGAGGAGTTTCTTTCCCAAGGTCACCCAGCCAGTCAGGGGCAGACCTGACCCTCACTCTCCAAGCCCAGGGTTCTCTCCACGCCCCTTCTTCCCAGGGCTCACAGATTTCTGGCTTCCTGGTGCCACCATCTTGCCTCCTGACCCCCCTGCAGATCTCATAGCTCCTGCCCCATCTGCACATTCCACGGTGCCCACTGCCGCTGCTGCCCCCCCGAGCCCAGCCATTCTATGTGTCCCCCCCTCCACAGGAACCTGACTGGCCCCAGGAGGGTTGGGATCCCGGACCACAGCCTGGGGGGTGTAGGGTGAATTAATTCTCCAGGTTGGCTGCTTACCTCCTGCCACCCCAGCGTTTGGGCTGAGAGAGCCATCATGTTGGAGTGATTCCTGCACATGGTCACTACATCAGTGTCTGCATGTCCCCCCCCTAACTGTAAACCCACGTTGCTGGTCAGAGTTAGTGAAGCAACACGAGAAGCCCTAATTGGCAACCTCTGCCATTTTGTAGCTGTGTGACCTGGGACAAATAATTTACCTCTTTGAACCTCTTTCTTATATTTAAAGTATCCAAAATGGTAGTTATTTTTGCCAAGTTTGCATGAGGATACTGAGATAAAGCCTGAAAAGCCCTTTGCACAGAGCTTGGCCTGTAGGAAGAGTTCCACAAGCCTTGATTGGGAGGAGGGGTGAGTTCTGAGTGAGGGGTCCTCCCAGGAGAGCTCGCTCCTCCTGCCCCCTGCTGGTGCCCTAGAAAGAGGGAAAGAGGGCTGAAGAGCAGAGAGGAGGGGCTTCCTGGTGCCATTGCCCAGTTTGCTCTTCCTTCCACAGATGGAGCTGAAGGCTGGGAAGGGGGCTGGGGAGCGGGCAGGGCCTGACTGGAAGGCCACCCTGCAGAGGGAGCGGGAGGAGCAGCAGCACCTCCTGGCTGAGTCCTACAGAGCTGTCATGGAGCTGACGCGGCAGCTGCAGATCAGCGAGCGCAACTGGAGCCAGGAGAAGCTGCAGCTGGTGGAGCGGCTTCAGGGTGAGAAGCAGCAGGTGGAGCAGCAGGTAAAGGAACTGCAGAACCGCCTGAGCCAGGTGAGTCCTGTCCCGACCCAAGGTGGCTCAAGTTCCAAGGGGCAGTCACTGTAGGAAAAGGCCTGGGGTGGGATCTCCTTCAGGTATAGGTGGATCCAGGTGCTCAGCGAGTGAAGCAGGAACTAGGTCTTTCTCTCTGCTAGCCTCTCAGTCTTACTTTCCTCTGTGTTTTTTCTTAAACAAGCTGATCTCAAATATGGCCTGTTAGTTTTGTGCTCATATCCTCACCACTTAGCGATTGTAGTGGAAAGAGTTTTCCTTTTCTGTAAGGCTCTGATTGGCCAGGTGTGAATCATGTGCCAAAACCCAGAAAGGCAGAGGGAAGAACCAAGGGTGGTTCCCATGGGAAAACTAAAAAAGAGGGAGAGAGGAGAGCAGCCATGACCTTCACACTGTCCACAGTTCACACCGCGCGTCCAGCTTCATGAGCTGCTGTGCTCCCTTCTTTATTTTGGCTTTTTCCTTTGTATCACATAAATCAGGACTTCACCATTACAGAAGACCCAAATATTGCAAAAGCCTACTGCGACCCACTCCTTCCCTTTCTTCCTAAATTTATGTTCCTAGAGATGTTTTTTATCATTCATGGAATCATGACATACGTATTGTTTGCACTTTGCCTCTTTCACAGAGAGCCGTTCGCACCAAGGTGTGGAGGCAGGTCTCTCTCAGTGTGTCTGCGCCTCAGTGCTCCCAGTACAGAGTCCCCACCCTGGTGTGATTCAGCTGCCCCTTGTCTGATCTCACTGTTCTAGGAACTGTAGCATGAATTAATGTATTAGTGACAACTGTATAGTAATTTATATAGTATTAAGTGTAACATCATCCAGAAGGATGCCCGTGAGTGGTCGCTTTCATGATCATTTCTCACCTTGTCGGTGGCTCAGAGCTGCTGGTCCCTGGGAAGGCGGTTTCTAGCCCATGACCTGGGATCTCCGGGCTGCAGAGCAGAGCCTGGGGAGTGGCCCAGCACAGAGCGGGGTCCTGCCCACCAGCTGGGCCCAGCATTGACCACCCTCTTTACCCTCCTCACCCAGCTGCAGAAGGCTGCCGACCCCTGGGTCCTGAAGCACTCGGACTTGGAGAAGCAGGACAACAGCTGGAAAGAGGTGAGTAGGGCAGCAGTCCACCCGTGTTCTTTTGGCTCCTGGCTGCCCTGGAGAAAGCCCCTCAGTTGTGGAGGGTGCTCCCCCTGTCCCACAGGTCACACACATCCTCGTATCTTGGGCTCTTCAACCCTGGGGTCTCTATCCCATGTTTCCAGCCTGTGGTGTGGCACTTGTGAAGGACCTCTGCCAGTCCCACCCTCCCCGTGCCTGGGACAAAGGCTGGGCATCTGTGTTCTTGGCCAGGTGCCTTGCCCTCTCTTGGTTTCGTATGTGCCTCTCTGGAAAGCAGGGCCTCTAAGTAGCCACGTGATCCTGGGCAAGTCTCTTCCTCTCTGGGCCCCAGTCGCCTCATTGGTAAAATGAGAATCACCTCGGCCTTAGCCCAGACCTGATGAGTTAGGGCTCATGGGTGAAGTTCGCTCCTAAGCCTCAGGTTTCTTGTTCTTATAGCAACATGTTGAGTAACCTTATAGCAACATGTTATAGTAACATGTTGAGTGAACAGATAGGCCCTTTGCATCATCCCATGTAATCCTGGCGGCAGTCTGAGGAAGTGGTGTGTCAGCCAGGAGACTTGGCTGCAGCAAAAACTGACTCTGGGGAACTGAGGCAGGAGCGAATTTTATTGGGGGCTTCAGAGGGTTGGCGATGCAGGTCCCCGGGGGACCTGCTCTGGCACCAGGGTGACACAGCCCTGGAGCAAGAATCTCCAGGTCACTGCTGTCACTGCCAGCTGACCAGCGATCCAGGGTGCAGCCTCCACATTCAGATTAAGTTCTAAACAGACTCTGTTTCCATGCGCTTCTCTCTTGGAGCTCCCACTGGCCAAGTCTGGATCACATGCCTGTGGGGAAGGTGGGTGCACTGTGGCCAGAAACTGACCAACCAGTATTCCAGGTCAATGCCGACATCAATTCTGCTCTGTAAGAGGAGACCCAAGTGTGAGATCTGGGGTCAGCTCCCATACCAATTTCCTGCCACCTTCCCTCCAGGTGTTGGCGGCCAGAACTGACCCCTCTTGTCTCTGTTCCTTGACAGACCCGCAGTGAAAAGATCCACGACAAGGAGGCCGTTTCTGAAGCCGAGCTTGGGGGAACTGGCTTAAAGAGGTGCTGGCACCCCCTCCACCCACTGCCCCCTGCAGCCTCGCCCCCTGCTCCGCCCGATGCCTGCGCTGCCCCTTTGGCCTCTCTTCTCTCCCACTCCCCATGTGTCCACCACTGCACCTCAGCAGAGCTGAGAGATGCTGGCATATGGTTTCTGTGTAACCCAGGCCACCTAGGAGCTGGGAAGTTCGAGGGGGATAATGCCTACCTGTGATTTTTTGTTTGTCTGGTTCCGGCCATGGAAAACTGGGGCCCTCGCCTGTCTTAGCTATGAAAGAAACTACGTAGCTCCTCTTGAGGTCCTTTCTTCTTGTGTCTGTAGTTGAGAGAGTCAAGCTGGATTCCCATTCCTGGGATTATTCAGCACTTCCTGTGGGCCAGGGAGACCCCCCCAGGGCTCTCAGGATCATGTCTCCACCGTCAGGAAACCTGTGAAAGCAGTGAGGGCAATAGAAGGCCACAGGGGTCATGGGAGCCGCCCACAGTCAGGCGGGTGGGCTGTGGAGTCCAGTACGGGGTTTCAATTCCACCTGTGCCGTTTCTAGCTCTGTGACCTTGGGTGAGACATCCTGCCTCTGTCCGGTGGGGACCAGAGACGCTGCCTCCTGGAGTTGCTGGGAGACTGGATGTGAGACGCACTTACATGTGCTTGGTGTTTTTAGTCGTCAGGCATCACCCGTGCCAGGTCCGTGGTGGAGATTTAGTGAAGTCTTAGTTCAGGTGCCCCCCAAAAACAAAGACAAGGAATTGAGACCTTGTCTTGAGGATCCTGAGACAGGGGTTTGATGTATTTGGGAGTGGATTCCAGGAAACACCTAGAAGTGAGTCAGGGTAGGAAAGGCAGGCAGTAAAGGGGGCGTTATCATGGGCCACCCGAGCTCAGTGTCTCCGAGGAGCTCAGAGAGCCAGGGCAGAGCAAGCAACTCAGAGTGCTCCCACCTAAGGATTTAAGAGCCATCGAACCCTACCCACTGTTTGGGCAGGGCTGTGTCTAGGACATGAACTCTGATGTTTCCGGTTTCCTCTGTGTGGAGGCCAAGTTTGCTCCTGCAGTCAGGGAAAAAAAAGCCCTCAGGGCTCAGAGCATGAAGTGCTGGGTGTGGGGGTGTGAGTGCGTGGGGGAGGTAGGGCAGGGTGCTGACAGAGATCTCCATGAGGGGCGAGCGGGACAGTCGTGGTCCCAGCCCTGGTGCAGCGCAACAACCGGGGAGGCAGACCACAGAGCCTGCGTGGGGTGTGTGGGCTCCCACTGATGCCGCTCTCCCCCCTCCGCTCTTCCCAGGACCAAATCTGTTTCCTCCATGTCTGAGTTTGAAAGCTTGCTGGACTGCTCCCCTTACCTTGCCAGTGAAGCCACCCGGGGCAAGAAGCTGCCCAACAACCCTGCCTTTGCCTTTGTGGGCCCGCAGCCAGTGGACGCAGAGAAGGATGCCCAGGCACAGCCACGGGACTGCAGCCACCTGGGTGCCCTGGGCTGCCAGGACCCGGCAGGGAGGCAGATGCAGCGCAGCTACACGGCTCCAGACAAGACAGGCATCCGTGTCTACTACAGCCCCCCGGTGGCCCGGCGCCTGGGTGTCCCTGTGGTCCACGATAGGGAGGGCAAGATCATCATCGAGCCTGGCTTCCTCTTCACCACCGCCAAGCCCAAAGAGTCCGCCGAGGCCAACGGGCTGGCAGAGAGTTCCTATGGTCGGTGGCTGTGCAACTTCTCACGGCAGCGCCTGGACGGAGGCTCGGGGGGCAGCCCCTCGGCAGCCGGGCCAGGCTTCCCAGCAGCCCTGCACAACTTGGAGATGTCGGGCAACATGAGCGACGACATGAAGGAGATCACCAACTGTGTGCGCCAGGCCATGCGCTCGGGTTCACTGGAGAGAAAAGTGAAGAGCACGTCCAGCCAGACGGTGGGCCTGGCCAGTGTGGGCACGCAGACCACCCGCATGGTCAGCGTGGGCCTGCAGACCGACCTGCCTCGCAGCAGCCTCCACAGCAAGAGCTGGTCACCCCGCAGCTCCTCGCTCGTGTCGGTGCGCAGCAAGCAGATCTCTTCCTCCCTAGACAAGGTGCACTCGCGCATCGAGCGGCCCTGCTGCTCACCCAAGTACGGCTCCCCGAAGCTCCAGAGGCGGTCCGTGTCCAAGCTGGACGGCGCCAAGGACCGCAGCCTGTGGAACCTGCACCAGGGCAAGCAGAATGGCTCGGCTTGGGCCCGCTCCACCACCACGCGGGACAGCCCCGTGTTGAGGAACATCAATGACGGGCTGTCCAGCCTCTTCAGTGTGGTGGAGCACTCGGGAAGCACAGAGTCCGTCTGGAAACTGGGCGTGTCCGAGTCCCGGGCCAAGCCCGAGCCCCCCAGGTACGGCATCGTGCAGGAGTTCTTCCGCAACGTGTGCGGCCGGGCCCCAAGCCCCACCTCGGCCGCCGGGGAGGAGAGCACCAAGAAGCCAGAGCCCGTCTCCCCAGCCAGCTACCATCAGTCGGAAGGCATGGCCAGGATCCTGAACAAGAAGGCAGCCAAGTCAGGCAGCAGCGAGGAGGCCAGACTCTCCGTGCCCCCGGGGAAAGATGGTGTCCTCCGGGACGCGGACGGAAGCCCGGTCCTTCCCAGTGAGGTAGGTGGGTGTGGCTGCCCTTTTTCTGGGGAGTGGGGTTGGCTTATAAGGTCTAAGCTCTTGGGGTTGTCAGACTCGGGGAATATAGTTCACGTGTTTCGTAAAGCTCTTGTGCCCATCTGGGATGGGTTTGGGTGGCCCGCACTGGAAGGACACACGGTCTGCATACTACTTAACAAGCTGCTTTGTGGCCACATGCCGGAAATTGCCAGCATCCCTAAGGGGAAGGGGTGTGCTCACTTCTCTCCTGTCACCGGTGGTGTGCTGGAGCTGGCCCTTGTGGTCTGTGAGAGCCAGCTGTGCACATCTATCTTCAGTGACAGCACCTTGGTACCTTGAGATCCACCACAGTGGGAAGACTTTACAGTCTGAAAATTGGCAAGTGCCCCAAGCCAGGGTCCCTCCCCTCACTCCTGGAAACCTGGTTATTAAATACTCTTCTGCACACCCTTGCCCCCACTCCACCAAGACTCTGTGCCTGAGAGCTCCCACCTTCTCTGGGAATCTTGTGCTGCATACCCCACTCCAGAATCAATTTCAGATTTCATTATGGATTATTTGCATATTAGTAAAAGAATGCATATAAGTTAGCTTCACGGGAAGGTGGAGTATCTAATGGAAGTCGAGGGTAGGGACCCAAAGATCTCAGCAGCTTCTTTCTGCCTCCCTCTCCTGTCTCTTGGCTTCATTTTTTTCTGATGTCCTTGTCTTCTGCTTCTCTCTCTGTTGCATTTGTATAGGGTCAGGAGGTTGTCCCTGCTCTGGTTTTATAACATCTTCCGGTTCAAGTACCTAAGAGAGACTCAAATTTCTCTGTCCCAGTTCCACATGTTTGGAAGAAGGAAACTGGTTCAACTCAAGTCCATTGTACCCCCTTGGACTGGCCAGGGTGGTGTCGTGTGGTGTGCAGGGCCTTCAGTGAGGGTTGTAGGTGGGAGCCCCAGAGGTGGAGTGGGCTGTGATTGGCCCGATTGTGTGTATTGTATGTTGAGGTGGTTTCTGGTTTTTCCATATTATAAATAGTTCTGTGGTGAACATTGTGGTGCAAAACATCTTTCCACATTTCAGATTATTTTCGTAGGTTTGAGTTGCAGAAATGGGATTACAGGATAAAAGAATGTAAAGTTTTAAGGTATTTGTTAAATGTTGCCAAATTATCTTTCAAAAGAGTTTGTCCAATTTCTACAGCCCCCAGGAGTGTATGGTGAGTGCTTTACTTCTCTATACTCTCACACAACTCACTACTTAAAAAAAACAACAACAACTTTTAAGTATTTATTTCTATTTTTTAACTTTAAAGAACTTTTCAATGTAATACCGAGCATGTCATAAGAATAGGGCTCATGGAACTCTCACAAACTGAACCGTTTGGTTTCCAGAGAAACAGACCAATATGCTGAGTGTGTGTTTGTGCACAGTCAGTTCACACCAGTATCACAAGGAATTGCTCGCGCATTACAGAGGCTGACAAGTGTTGAGCTCTGCAGGATGAGGTAGCAAGTTGGAGACCCAGGAGAGCCGATGGTTTAGTTCCATCTGAGTGGGAAGCTTGGGAGTCAGGGGGGATGAGGGCGGAGCAGCGTACAGTATGGGTACCTGTTGAGTCCCAGCCTGAAGGCCGGCAGGCTGGGGTCCCAGGAAAAGCCGATGCTCCGGTTTGAGCCTGAAAGTAGGAAACCACTACTGCCCCAGCTGAGAGGCTATCAGGCAGGAAGAATCCCTTCTTACTCAAGGAGAGCCAGCCTTTTTGTTCAGTCCAGGCCTTCAACAGATTGGACGAGGCCCACCCACATTAGGGAGGCCAGTCTGCTTTACTCAGTCTCCCGATTTAAATATTAATTTCATCTAGAACTTTCCCACAGAAGCGCCCAGGGTAATGTTTGGCCAAACATCTGAACACCCTGTGGCCTGGTCAGGTTGACGCACAAAACCAACCAGCCCCCTCATATAACCAGTCCTGTGTCAGGAGACAAAGGTCCAGAGCTGGCTGTATTTGAATGTTGATTCTAAAGTTGATCCAAATATTTTCAGTACATAAAAGGTAAATGCTACTCATTGACTAGTGGTTCTCCAAGGAATGTAGCTTATGGAATACTCACAGACACGGGAAATATATTTATATAAAGAAATACATTGCGTTATTAGTAAGAATAACTAACACTTATTAAGTTCTTAGTAGGCACTACATCAAATGCTATATATATCGTAGCCGATTCAACCCTTACAACAACTTTGGGGAAAGTATCATGTGCCTCTTTGTAGGGAGGAGGAAGTCAAGGTTCAGATAGTTAAGTAACTTAGTTGAGGCCACACAGCTGGTAAGTGGTGGGGCTGGGATTTGAACCAAGCATTCTAGTTCTGTAACAGCACTTTTATTCATTGTCCCTGTGTGTTGGTAATAGTAGAAAAAAGAAAAGAAAAGAAACTACCTATGCACATCAACAACAATGAATTGGACGAATCGGTTAAGGTAGTTCCACTCTGTGGAAGAGTAGACAGATGCTAAAAAGAGCTCGACACACAGAGACAGCACAGTGTTCATATTTTGCAACTGCCACATAGGCTGTGAGAGAGGAAGTTGTTTGGTTCAATATGCGTGTGATGTGGTGAGAATGTACTTTGATGTGTAGGACCGCAGACGGTGTCCACTTCTTTGCATATTCCAGCATTTATTACATTCTGGAATATGATCCATGAATATGCATTATTGTTCTAATGGAAGAAAAACAGTTTTTTTAAAAATTGGTCCAAAGAGGGGCTACAGCCCTGGGAACTGGTCCCTGGGTGTGGCCGAGTTCAGTTCCTCGCCTGGCCGGCCATCCAACCCCGAAATGGTCAGCACCTCTTGGCTCCTCCTGACTCCCTCCCTCCTTCCTCTCAGGATGCTGTTTGCGACTGTAGCACCCAGTCTCTCACCTCCTGCTTCGCCCGGTCATCCCGCTCGGCCATTCGCCACTCTCCTTCCAAGTGCAGGCTTCACCCTTCAGAATCCAGCTGGGGCGGAGAGGAGAAAGCAGCCCCTCCCAGCGAGTGACAGCAGCTGAACTCCTGGCCCCAGCCAGCCCAGTCTATGAATAGCCGAAGGGAACCAGCAGAGCGGAGGGTCGTGCCCTCTGCATCACCTCGCCATGGGGGACAGCAGCTGCACCATGGCCGGAGAACAGCTTTCCCATCCCCAGGTAAAGTGGGGTCTCCTGCTGACCCCTGGGTGGCCATCTCTGACTCCCCAGGGGAAGGCAGTGAGTGGGAGAAAGACCAAAACTGCTTCAAGGTGTCGGCAGAGAGATCCACTGGGGGCTGATCCCTGGGTCCTAAAGGAAAGTCTTGCCTGGTTCTACCCACACCCACCTCTCAGAAGAGCCCAGGAATGGATACACTTCTGGCCACGACCCTCAGGGAAAGGGCTCACAGAGATGTTTGTGCCAATCACACCCCTCCATGGGAAGGAAACACCAGAAGAACAGGCTTTGCTGTAGGACTCGGCTTGGGGCTCCTGGTGGAGCGGGGCTGGGCATGACATCCATCCTTCCCTTCCCTCCACTGCCGCCGCCTCCTAGCCCCGCTGCTTTGGATTGCTGTTCCTCTGGAGGGTTGTGATAGGGCAGCAGCCAGGGCCGAGTACCTGCTTGGAATAATGGTGCCCCGGATCTCCCTGCTAAGAGCCTGGGTGCAGCAAGGAATGGAAGACGAGGTGGGAACATGTGGGGCTCAGGGTCGGAGAGCCACTGGAACAGCCTCTCTTGCCAAGTGACAACCTTCCCAGGAGATTCCTTAAGAACAGAAATAGGTAGTAGAGTCACTCTCAAGACCTGGTGCACAGATAAATGCCTAAATGCTCACTGCCTTGATCGCTGGGGCTACTTTTCCCAGCATCCTGCGGGGCACCACATCTCCACTCTGTTTACATCCTGTGGCTGGTGGAGGGCACCAATGCGCCCAATAAGAGACTCCCAGTGTTGGGTCAGGCCAAGGAGCACTCCAAGAGCCTAGTGCCCCAGGACGTAGTGGTAGGCTGGGGTCTGGAAACACATTTCTCGCCTAGGTTGTTTATTTGAATTTTTCTTACTATAAATATTTAAGGTGGTTTTACTTTATTTTAATAATTTAATTTACCCAAAGTCCCTACAGTAATTTATTGGAGGTTAAGACATGTGTTCTTGCCGCTGGGATAACGCAAGGCTTTGGACATGGTGGACAGGTGGGGGACCCGCATGTGGATGAGCCGGTTCAGCCACGCTCTGGCTTCCTGGTCAGGTTTGGGTGCCCTCCCCCAGCAGAGCTGGAGCCCCGCCCCTTGCTCCCCAGCATCGCTGACTGTTGGTTCAGAGCGCTGCTTTTCCCTCCACACCTGGTACTTGCCCTGCCCCTGGAAGTCGGTCTATAAGTGCTTGCTGACCGGCTGGAGGGCTGGACCCATGCCACCACTTCCCCAAAGTTCTCTATTTCCCTTCTTGTCTTCCCATCCCCGCCATCTGACCCTTTTTTTTTTTTAATGAGTCCAACATAGATTACTGAGGTTCTACCGAGAGCATGGAGATCTCTCCAAGTTCCCCAAGTGAGAACTTGCAGGAAAACAGGACTGAACTTCGAGAATGTTGTTTATTGCAGCTTTGCACGTGGATCTGAGAGTGTCTGCCAGCCTGCCTCAGTTCTCGCCCGCCCGCCAGCCTTTCCACCCACCTCTCTCCTTAGCCTTACAGCCTCTCGGCCTCTCACGGCTCTTCTCTCAGCCCCAACTCCACTGCCCGCCCTTCCCCTCGTGCTGTGCGGGCTGCTCGAGCCATTGGATAGATTGTGACAAGGCTCATCGCAGTTTGGCAGGGAGGCCTCAGGCGGCCTTCCCCTCCGTGCCGGTGAACCCATTTTGGTTGCACACACACATGCAGACACACGGCCTCCTATACCTGGCTGGGCGCCCGGAGTGGAAACACCAGGATGAAATGGTTTGTCTGTGGAACTCTCCATGAGGAAGACCCAAACCCAGCCACTTGGCTAGTTTGCCCCCAGGACTCAGGATGCCTCTCCACTTCCACCTGCTCCTAATTTGACCCTTTCAGGGTCACCTGGACCAGTTACCCAAAGTCCTTCATCTCCATTCCCTGTCAGTAGAACATCAGGGTCATGTTCGACCAGCCACAGAGTGACATGTGGGTACAGCAGGCAGGCCAGTGGAGCCATGTGCCAGGGCCCCGCTGGGATGCCATGCTCCCACCCAAGAGGTCAAGGGGCCCCTCCAAGGTTATCACCAGGTGAGGGGACTCACCACAGGCCACAAGCCATCAGAGGCCTTCTGCCACCTACCCGAGCCACAGAGGGCCAGGGAGTCTGCACTCCCAGCCTTGGGGAGAAATCCCCATGAGACCTGAACTTGCAGCCTGGGGCCAGACCGCTCAGCCTTACCATCGTTCTCGTCCTCGTCGGAGATTGTCCTTGCCGTCCTCGTCTCAGCGCCTGGCCACCCGGCCCCCAGCCGGTGTCAGAGCCTCCAGGGCTTGGTTATTCATAAAGTCCCAGTTTCTACTTCCTGCACAGAGTGGCCCCCGTGCGAGGTCACTCATCACTGGTCCTGCAGAAGCCTCTGCACGAGGGGCTTGATGGGGTAGAACACGTTGTATGTAAATACTCGTTTGGTTTGATTTTTAACATTTTAATTGGTAACTGGTTGTGTTTTCTTCTGGGGGGTGGGGGGGTTGGTTTGTAAAAACTCTACTCTTTTGAAATGTAATTTCTAAGTTTGTTTGTTTCTTTAAATGCCTTTTCAGCCTTGTAACATTCCCAAAGCAGAAAACTGCCTGACCCGCAGTGGGGATGCCCTGGAACACTGGGGCCCCTGGAAGGAATGCTGCCCTCCTCTCTCTTCCCCTTCCTACTCCCCCTCTGCCTTTCTACTCCTGGCCCCTCCCCTTTCCTCCCCCTCCTCCTCTCCTGTTCTACTTCTTCCTTTCCCCCATCTCTTCTCTCTTCAACCAAAGTCCCAAGGAACCCTGGGGTCCTAATTCCCTTTCCCTACAGATGGCTCGGCTTGGGCCCATGGTGTTGGCACCAGTCGGTTAGGGGTAAATGGAAGACCACTTGGTGTGGTTGACCCTGAACTGGGCGACCTCATGTTTCTTCTGTTAGACCTCCTTCAAAGCCAAATTAGACTCTTCTGGGGCCATGATGTCGGTGTTTGAAATGGAAATGCTACCCGTTTGGTGAATCGGTGGCTTTAGACCCTGTATGCACAAGGCCTCAGAGTCCAGTTCCAGTCCCCCTATAGCCTCTGCCCCCACTTCTTTCCCCACCTAAGGCTGATCAGTTTCAAAACACCTCCAAGAGGTCTTACTTTCTCTGAACTAAAGATGGGCCGACCTCACGGCTTCCCCAGAGACACCCCTCTAGTGGTTGCTCTCCCAAGTGACATAGTTGAAGGCCCCAAAACTTGACCCACTTACACCCTGACCATGTGGCTCCATCATGCCTGCCCCCTGCACCTTCTACGGTTCCATCACCCCGTCTGTTTTCCTCTTGCCCACCCAACTGCCAGGCCCTCCCCCCCCACTTCCTGTCCCGAATGTTCCCCACACCCATCCATCCTCACCAGCCTGCACCAAGCTCCCGCAGCCTCCTCATTAATAATAATGGTCCCCTGCATGCTCTACCTAGAGTGTTTTCTTTTTTAGAGATCACTCCCCATCGCACATCTTTTCAGACCTTTCGGGGACAACTCTGGGAGTCAGCTTTGGCAGGACAGGGTTTAGCGCTCCCATTTTGCAGATGAAGAAACTGAGAAATCCATCCCAGCATCACCTAACTGGGAAATCATTGAGTCTGAGTAGAACCTGGATCCCCCAGCCCAAATTTTGTTCTGCTTGCTGTGTGAATGCACTGCCCCACTGGGTGTTCTGTGTGGATACAGGATGCCCTGCTCCTGCCCCTGCCCCACCCAGTTATGAGAGCAGTCCGCCCAGAATCACTGGGCTCCCGAGGGCAGTCTGGGAACCCCTTGCATCGGAATCCTCTGAGGGCATGTCCAAAATGCAGCTTTCTGGGCCAGGAACCCACGTGTCCCTCTCAGGGAGAGCCTGAGCGGCAGCCGCCCCACTGTTTGTGTTCAGAGCCCCGGGCGGTAGGCCACCTTTCTTGTAACCGATAGCCACGACGCTGTATCATAAAAAGACCACTGTTCTGGGCATTGGGGAACTAATCCTCAATCCAGCTCTGATTTGGTCTGATTACCCCGAGCATTTCCAAAAACAATCAGAGGTGTAATACAGCAGAAATAGAATTATTTTAAATGTTAATTTAGTAAGACTACATCAACAGTCAAAAAGCAAGAAGTTATCATTCCCCAAATCTTTCTGATGTTATTCCTATAATCATGCAGTTAAAATTTACTCTTGAGTTTCCTGGCATCCACGGTGGAAAGAGAAATGTGTCAGGTTCTGTGACTCCTCATCCAGTCGTGGGAAGCAAGGTGGCTCCCATGCTAAGGAGACACCTCTTAATGCTACTAGTTTGTAGCACGTGTCCTTTCTTCAAAGCCCACTGACTAAGCCAACTCTGCTATTTCAGCAGGTGAACCTAAGGTGCAAAGGTGTTTCCCAGCTGACTCTTTTATAAAATAACCAACTGCCACCAACTTGAATGACCTTGGCCTCGGATCATGTGGCTACTTACTCCATGCCTCAGTTTCCCCAGTTATAAAGTGGGGAGAATGTCCTTCTACCTCACATGTCTGTGGTGAGGACCAAATACAGCGCTGTGCCTGCGAGTCTGCTTGGGAAAGTGCCATGTTCTACTCAGCCGGGAAGTGGTCGGATCCCACTTGTCCCCCAGACAGTCCCTCAGTGACCCCCTCACTAGTCTCAGTGAATAGAAAGTGGGCCGAAAGGTTATCTGGACCAACTCCCTCACTTTTTAGAAAAACTGTTGCAAAATATTCGTAACGGAAAACCCAGTCGCCGTTTTAAGGACACTCGCGGTGTGAAACCATGGCCCGCGTCCATCTCCAGAACGTTTTCATCACCCCACACTGACGCTGTACCCACGAAACGCTCCCCGTCCCCCTGCCCCAGCCCCTGGCAACCTCCGTTCTACTTTCTGTCTATGAATTTGCCTATTGTGGGTAACTCTTCATAAGTGGAATCGGACGCTCTGTCATTTTGTGTCAAACCTCAGTTTTCTGGATGAGGAATCAGGCCCAGAGAAGAGAATGACTCGCCCAAGGTCACACAGCAAACTAGAGGCAGAGCCAGGACCAGAACCCAGGTTTCTGCATCCCGAATAGCGATCAAGACACGACCCTGCCATTCAGTGATCTTGGTTGTGCCTCTTCCTCTATCCGGCTGTCTGCTCGCTCCCCGCCTCTCACCATCCTCTCTTTTATCATCTCCCTCAAGTCTTCCTTTTCTCCTGCTTCCTCTACTCTGCTGGTTCCCGCCTGCAGGCCCGGTGGCCCTGACCAACAGGCAGGTTTTCCTCTTTGGACCCTCAGCCCTCCTGCAAGGGCCTCCCCAGCATGCTCTCCTCGCATGGATTTCCCTGCTGCCCTCAGCAGCCCCCAGGCTCACATTCCTGTCTTACCAGGGAAGTGCCCTTGGCTGTGGCTTCCCAACCCTGATGTTTTCCCACACTGAAGGACACCTTTCTCCAATGCCTCCTCCAGCGTTAGCCCTGCCAGCCCTTCTCATTGGGCTCGGGCCCAGCCACCCCCCAGCCCAGAAACGTCTCCAGTCCCATCCTTGAGTCATGTTCTTCTCTGTCCGTGGCCTCCTGGAAGGACCCAGCACCTTCCATGGGGTGTGTGTGTGGTGGGGGTGCTTTGGACCCTCACTTCTGGCCTCCTCTCCCCTTCCCAGTCCTGCATGTCTTTGACTGAGGAGACACAGCCTGGTTTGGTCATCTGTCCATCTGTCCGCTTGACATCCCACCATTCTCTCTGCTCTCCCTTGGGCCTCACCAGCTCCAGAACAGCTCTTCCTCTAAGAACCTGTAGCTGCCCCTGGCTCTGCCCCTTGCCCCTCCCAACAGTGTCTGCAGTTTGCAAAGTCCACAGGTCAGGACCCGAAGGAGACATGGTGCTGGGCCTGAGTCCCCTGCACTGGGCTCCTCCCCATTCCTCCCTCATACTCCTTGGACCGTCCCTTGTCTCTCCCATTGACCCGCTCCTGTCCCTTACTGCCCTCCACCAGCCCACTGGACCCCAGGCCCCAAGTAAAGGAGCTTTGGTTTCCCTTAGTATCCTTGCAGGGCCAAGGTATAAGGGCCTGGCTGCCTTGTCACACTACAGTATTGTGATGCTGGAACTGCTTCCATGATGAGAAACCTCAGCCAGAGCCTGGACACCTGGCCCAGGTCTGGGCCGACTTCCTAAATTCTCTGAGTTCAGGTGGTGCTGTGATTTTCTGATGAGCAGCAGGGCGATCCCTAGGGCCCCAGGGCATCCCTCATGTTTCGGGAGACTGCATCACCATCCTCTCTCCACTGCAACCTGGCCTATCAGCTCTGCCCCTGATGTCTGTGCCTTAATTTACCTCTCTGCACAGGGGGCTCACTACAAGACTATGCCTAGCAGCCTCCCGGGGATTTGGTGCCTCTAAGGCTGGGCCCTGCCAGCTATGGCCCAGCTCCCTGACACTACTGCCTTGGGGCGCCTGGTTGCTGAGGATGAGGTACCTGGAGGTTCTCAAAGTAACTTCTAGAAGTGCAAGGTATTGGCACCACCCAAGACCCACGGAATTGGAAGTTCTGGAGTGAGGCCCAGCAAGCTGGGGTTTAGCAAGCCCTCTGGATAATTCTGATAAAATGATAGTTTGCCAACTGCTGACCTGACTGAGACTGGCCCAGACCAGGAACAGCTGGGGAGCACCAACCTCTAGACTCCTGAGAGACTGGGAGCTCTCCCCACCTGCCCTTCCCCCACCACAAACATGTTCTCTTCCTGGAGGCTGGAGGGCAGGGAAAAGGCATGGATTTTTCCTTTTTTCCCCTGGCTGGGTTCCACCTCTCCCACTTGTCTGAGTTTCACAAAAGGTTATAGAGGCTTGTGCCAGCCAGGCAGGAGGTGGCAGTCCTGGGGGACAGGAGGAAAAGCCCTGATCATTTGTCCCTTGGCAACCTCATCATAGCTCATGGCCTCTCTTCAAACAGAAAGAAACCTAACTCAAGAAGAGAATCCTAAATCCCCAGCTCCCCCTCCTCCCACCTCCTCAGAGACCTTGTAGATGTGCCAAAAAACAGCTCTGACCCTCAGCGACTGGGGGGGGGGGGGGGGAGAGCCAGAAGCTGTCCTTCCTTTTCCATCCTGCCCCTCCCAGCCCCTGCCAATACTGTGAAGCCCCCTGTCTGCCCAGCCTGGTTTCCTGGGGAGGGTCCCTGTAGTCCTCGGCCCAGGGAAAGGTCTTCGGGAGGGAAGGGACCAAGGGCATCCTTGGGCCAAAACTGCCTCTCCTGTTCATTGTCCTCCTCCTCACTCCTTTCTTCAAAAGGCTCCTTCCCTGACTGGATTGGGTGCTAGGACGACTGTAGTCCAATCCACTAGCTCTCCCTGCCCCTGTGTCTTATTTCAGACAATATGAGAATAACTGTACAGTGTAAACTTGCAAAGGGTTTTTAATGGTTGTAGATTGGAAATAAAGTATGTCATATGAACAGTTCCCATGCCTCCTCCGATTTCTCTTATTGGGTGGGTGGGGCCCCCAGCAGATTTGAAACTTGACTCTAGCCCGCCCCTAGTTGCCTGGAAAGGAGGGATCTCGCCCTGGGAATGTCACAGCCAGCTGGCTGGTTTGTGGCCACTTGGGAGGGGCCACCAGGTATTCTCCGTTGCTGACCGCTGACACCTCAGTGTCTCCCACTAAATGTGGTATGACCACTGAAAAACAAATGCAGAGCGCTCAAAAAATAGAATTGAACTTTTCTACAAAAGACTTTTAAAATGTCATCATGGGGTGGGGGAAAGGACACTTTAGACATGAGTTAATTATTGATTACAGTATAATTAAGGACTCCAAAACATGTATTATATCACAGATGCTGTGGGCTAGGAATTCAGGACATGGGTACTTGGGTTCAGGGTCACAGGAGGTTGCAGTAAGTTGTCGATCAGGCTGCAGACTGGGACTGGATGGCCCATTTGTAAGGTGGCTTATATGCCTGGCAAGTCAGTGTGACTGTGAGCAGGAGGTCTCAGTTCCTTCCAGTGTGGCTCTCTCCATGAGGCTGAGTATCACAGCACAGTGAGCACACTTCCCCCAGGGTAAGTGATCTGTGAGAGAGCAGGGTAGCAGTCACAATGTCTTTTGTGACTAAACCTTGAAAATCACATTACCATTTCTGCAATGTCTTACTGGTTATACACATCAGCCCTATGCACAGTGGGAGAGGGCTACACTGGACACGAACACCAGGAAGCTGGGATCTTCAAGGGCCATCTTGGAAGCTGGCTACCACATGAAAGTTCTACAGGTCTCTTTTTTGAGGACCTAATAACAGCTTGTGCTAGGCATTGAGGGTACAATAGAAGGGCCTAGAAAACACGAAAGCAGACACCAATGGCAGGGGGACCCCAGGGGAACAAGAGGAATCTCAGGAAAGGCTTCACAGAGGGAAAGATACCTGCACTGGCCCCTGAGGTTGAGATATGGACCAGATGAAGGGGATGGTGGTGTGTTGTAGGCAAGAGACTGAGGGGAGATGGTTTGGGGGGCAGGGGTCATGTTTGAGAGCCTAGTAGAGAGCAGAGCGGAACTGGGGAACTGGAAGAAGTCTGATGTTACTGGAATGGGGAATGATGAAAGAGGAGAGTCTGGGTCAGATCACACAGTGCCTGTGAGGGGACAAATGTCCACATTCTCTGGGCATTAGGAAGCTGTGGAAGAAATGAAAGCTGGGAAAGGAGATAGTCCTAGGAAGTACTGGGCCTGGATTCCATTAAGTTATATATTCTCACTGTGCTCCAGGCTGGCCAGCCCTGGATGGGAATGCTGTATTCTGTTCTCAGGACACAGAAGGAACTGGGTACCACTGACATCCCAGAAAGTGATATTCAGGGAATCAAAAGCAAATCTCTGCTTTCCTACTGCTGGTACAGCCAGAAGGCTGGAAGCACATCGTAGACATTTCAACAAGGCAGAATTATGCCTCCCATCAGAAAAAAGTTTCCAAGGACTATAGCTGCTATGGAAGGATGACCAGTCATGCTCCAGCTGCCGCGCCCTAACTTCTTCAGACATTGTGGACTGCTTGTAAGTCAACATTTGGAGGTTTCAAATCTGAAAAAACTCCACATGCAAGGGGACAGACGTTTTCAACGCGTCCTGTTGGGTGCTGAGGAAGCAGCCTGCTCTCTCCAGCCAACAAGGGGTAGTGAAAAAGGCACAGGCTGGGATCTTAACGAATACAGACCGGGCATCTGGTTTTCATCCTGGGACCTCAGAGAAGGCTCTGAGAGATGAGTCCTCACCTGAGACTTAAAATTGGGAGAATATTGCCAGGAAAAAGGCAGAGAAGGGCTTCTCAGGCAGAGGGAATGGCGATCAAAGGAGCAGCACAGGCAAGAAGCTACGGGGCCAGACAGAGGAGCAGCAAGCAGTTGGGGGGTTTCTGCAGTGAAACTGGGGAAAACAGTTCTCGAACTGCATGCATTAAAAGGGCCACAGAGGAGAAAAAGTGCTAAATGCAGGAGTATAATACGATGAAGCAAACTGAGCACTTAGCTCCAGTCCGCCCTGGGAGACACAGTCCACATTTTCGCCTTGAAGAAGATACCGGAGGAGGAACCGTGGATTAACAACCGGGCAGAGCTTAGGATGCTGATACGCTGTATTCTCTTGGCAAGTATCTCTCCGGGCCCGTTTCCCCATCTTAAATGGGCTTTATCCTCGTGGGGCGCTAAAATCACGATGGTGTGGCAGACCCCAGGAGGGGTCTCTCCGGGCAAGTAGCAGCTGGTAAGTTCGGCCACTTCAGGGCGCAGAAGGATTTGTAAGCAGCGAGAGGTCTGCTAAGGGTTAAACACAGTTTACGCTTGCGCTTTATGGGAGGGAGGAATTCTGGGTGCGCTGGCGCGTGCGCGGCCCCGGAGGCAGCTGGATGCGCATGCGCCCTTAGTTGGCGGGAGTTTCGGTACCGGCGGCCGTTGCTTGGGGCGTGGTCTGCGGAAAATGTACGGGACCGGTACTGGGAGCGAGAGGCCCGGGGGTCCAGGTATGACCGGTGGCCGCAGAGAGTGACCTGCAATCTTGTATTTGAAGAACAGAGACTTCAGAATGGACGGGCATCACTCCGAGGTGAGGAAGTCGCATACCTTTCCCCGGACGCTCCTCCACTCACTCCCGCACCCGCCCATTGGGCGTCTGACCTCGGCCCACTCCAAGCCGATCGCCGCTAACCCACAGCGAGCAGTAGGGGTGTCTCAGGGTGCTGCGGCCTACCCTGGCCGAGAGGAAACCCGAGGACCGCCCGCGCCCCTCCCTTGCCATGTCTGCAGAGCCAGTGGTCCAGACTCCTGAACAGTGGCTGAAGGGTAGGGCTGGATCACAGAATTCCGCCTCTGCCCCAGACTGGGTGCGTAACTAGCTTGGGCCTGGCTTTTGCCCTCCGAACTTCAGTTCCTCTATCTACAACGAGGGGTGAGAGATAGTATTAATGCTTATGGAGCTGTGGAAAGGATTAAATGGGCTAATGAGATAATGATGCAAATAAAGCACTCACATACAACACTGGCCCTGGCATATAATATGTCTAACAAGAAACTTAACTAATGACAGCTGTTGCTGGTATCGCCCAGGCTTGAATACGTGATAGTCATAACTGCGGGGACTTAGCTCTTTGACCTATCCGTTCTTGTTCTCTTTTCCACGTCGTCCCTCCAGATATTCATTAAGCAACCCCCTTCCCTACAGATTTTTGCTGGGAGGGAAGGGTAAGCATGGCTGATGTAGAAATGCCTCAGTCAGTCCTTGGTGACAGGCACTAAGGAATACAAATACAGTCTGGCTGGGGGGACAGACTTGGAATCAGGCTTGGCAGCTAGTGCTAGGGAGGCCAAGGGGTGGAGTAACCAACTCTGCCAAAGAGAAGTGGTGTGAAAGCTTCACATTTAAGCTAGTTTGGGCAGGATGAGTAGGTTGGACAGGCCATATGTGCAAAGATTCGAACGTGGTACAGGAAGGGAAGTGGCAGGAGAGAGTGGCGGGAATGGATGGGTAGGTTGGGACCAGCTTATGAAAACTGTTGAATACACTGGAAAAATCTTTGCTACTGTCTAAGGGACGGATAGGAGAGGAGCAGTATTGGATGCAGGAAAACTAGCAGACAGATTGTTAGATTATTGGGTGGAGAGTGGGTGGAGGTGTTGGAAATTACCGGACCTGAAATAAACTAGGAACTGGAAGTGGAGAAAAGATTGAGAGTCAAACTCATAGACACAAACAAGAGAATTGCAGTTACCAGAGGGGGATAGGGAGAGGATAAAGGGTATAATATGCAAAACAGTTTACTGTTGTACTATTATTAATGTATTTTTCCATACGAACAACTGTAAACATACTTTGCCCCCCTCGGCCCTGTATAGTGATGGAAGAGGTCTAGACTTAGGACAATGAACACACAGTGCAGTATATAGACATCGTATTATAAAGTTGTACACTTGAAATTTAGATAATGTCATTAACCAATGTCACTTTAATAAATTTAATTTTTAAAAAGATTTAGAGAGACTGTTGGAGGTAGAATGGATGGATTTTTGGGTCTGAAGAGTTAAGAATAAAAAGTAGAGGATGATGTGATTGTTCTAGTTTGGAAGACCACTTAGGTCATAATGCCATCGACTGAATTAGGAAATTAGGGGCTAGTTAAGCACAAAATAATGTGGCAATAAGATAGGTTATGTGTTCAGGGATATATGAGTGTTTCTAGTGAACTGGAGGTGACAACCCCGCTGATAGTCTTTGTGGAAGTGGTGGGTGAAGCAGCATTGGGCTGGGCCTTGTCAGTAGGTAAATTTCATGGGACAGAGACTGATAATTGAGAGGCTGGAAAACACAAGGCCTATTCTAGTGTAGTAAAACCCCAGCGAGATGGGCTGAATGCGTAGAACAGATCACCTCATTTTCCTGTTTTAGGGTTCTCCAGGCAGGATGACTTCGGGGACCAGATCAGAGACTGTAGAAGGTGAGTATTGTTCTTTTTACCTTGGGTTCAGATTTCTCAACTATACTCAAATGCTTTCCCGGCTCTTCGTGGAGTTGGAATCACATATTCATGTATTTGCACAGGTGCTTCCAAAGTGTTTCCATGATCTGGGTCATATGTTTTCTTTTTCCATCTTTTTGTACCAAAACTTGGTTGTGGTGGGTTTGATCTTATATTTTGACTTTTTTATAACAAGTGCTACAAGAGGAACCGGTTACATCTAAGGCTCAGGCTCATCAATCGGAATCAAATCCCAGCCCTGTGGAAGTGTGTGACAGATTGCCTGCCTCCCTGGAGATGACTCAAGGCGTTTCAAAGGAAAGGATTCCCATTGGCTGTGAAAAAGGGGGAAGTTGTGATCTCAGCCACGAGGAAGCACTTCAGTCCAGGTCCCTTCGTTTGTTTCCCCAAGAGCAGTCTGCCCATCATCAAGACAGAAGGCAGTCCTGGCGGCGAGCAA